AGGTTGCTGTGAGCTAGGCTGATGCCACAGCACTCTAGCCCAGGCAACAGAGTGAGATTCTGTCTCAAAAAAAAAAAAAAAAAATTTTTTTTTAAAAAATTTCCTATAAAAACTGTCATATACTTAATTTCTTCCCTTTCAAGTAAGCACATAAAAAGTGGAAGTATATGCTGATTGAAAAGAGGTTTCTAAAGTTTGTCTTCATGAGATCTACCTTAAGTGCACTACTACTAGGGGAGTAAAAATATGAAGGTTTGGACTCCCTTAGATTTTATGACAAAAATTAGACACTCACCTTTTTTGGCAGTCTTTTCCAGATAAGGAAAATTGTTGGTGTCCCCAGATCCAACTTTGAAAAACGGAACATTCAGTTCGTGCAGAAATTCAACTGCCATCTACAAAAATCAAAGAGGAGCTCCTTTTCACTATTGTTTAAACACACTGTCCTCACAACAGAGGAGGAATAACATACAAATAGAAAACCCGCCTCCTCTTCCCCAGCGAGAAGGACTCTTAACAACTTGAAAGCAGGCAAAGATTTGTTCTCAGTCATTTCATTCAAGCATTTATTCATATCCGCCCATCCACTTGTCCAACAAACACTTAGTGCTGGTCTACACTGGCTATGACAATCTGGAAAGGAATATCCCTGGCCAGACCCTGCCTTCCCCAGGGGCCCGGGGCCCAGGGAACAAACATGAAAGGGTCATGACCTAATGTTGACACAGAAAACCAGGCAGTGAGAAAGTGAACAGCCCTCAAAGGCTTTCCCCTTTACTCAGGGCCAGATAGACTGCAAAAGAGGTCATTTCAATCCTTGCCAAAAGGGGAAAATGGAGCATTTTGTGGCCCAGCCTTGACAGTGATCCACGGTTGGCAGGGCCCATTAAACCCAAGCCCTTTCAGACCTCAAACCATGCAGTCCACCAAAAAGCAAACCTTGGCCACTTTTTTGGACACAACATCACTCCTTGAGATTATCTAGCTAGGGCTCTTCAACATCCTTCTCTGAGATTCATCAATAAGACTCAGGAAATTGGTAAACATCAGCAAACGTTTGCTGAAGGAATTGGTCGATCACAAATTATAAGCGCAAAACCTCAGTTTGCTGTCAAATTACAATAACTCAAAAGACCACTCTGTAAAAGCTCATTTACAGAGGCTGTAAAATTTGCATGGATTTCTGTAATTTTCAAGCGAGGAATAAAGGGGCAGATTCCCGCGGGAAGGGAAGGACGCCACATTTTGCAGTCCTCCTGGGGAGCCAGTGCCACCTGGTGGCCATTTAGAAAACTGCCACTTAGGAGTCACCGCCCTGGGCAGGGCACCCCCTTCAGTAATCTGGAAGGTTCTGCCTGGCCTTCTGGCCCGAGGCGGTAGCGCTGCGCCCTGGGGGGCCCTCTTTTTTCCATGGACTTCTGGCTTCCCCTAGCCTGCCCACCCTGCTGTCGGGTCCCCTCTCCATGTAGGGTGCAACGCAGCCGGCAGCCTCAGGACCCCTCCCTCCCTCCTACCCGCCCCACAGCACAAAGCCACAAAGCCTTTTGGAAAGGAACTCAGCCACCTGTGACCCTCCTCCGGCACCCTACTGGGTTCAACGCCCAGAAGAGCGTCCCACCGGCAGACCCGTTTGGGGGAAACGCTGCGCTGCCGTAACTCCGTAGAGGGTCCCGGTAGATCGACTTGTCAGACTTCTAAATCCACTGTTTCCCAAACTTATTCGACTCAGAACTTTTTGGATTCCAAATCAATTAATTAATGAGGATGGACAGCGAATGTCCACAGAACCCCCTCTCCGTACTATGTCCTGTAGAAACTTTGGGAACCGCTGATCTAAGTAAGGAGTCAGGAAAGAGAGGAGCGAAGCTGGGATTTTTCCAAAGCCCCCTCCCCTCCCCTCAGTTTTTAGATCCTGCAGGAAAGGAAAAAGAAGCCCATGATCATGAGTTGGGGAGAACAGGGAATGTTCCAGAGCTGCCCAGGACGAGGAGATGTTGAGAGGGAAGCGTGAGCCCCCCTCAGTGTGGTGGCTGTCGGGGGTACACCGCGACTCGGACAGAGGCTGGAGCCCTGCTGGCAGGTGGCGAGCGAAAGGAAGAGGCCGGTGGTGGAGGGAAGGGCAGCTCTGCTCGGATGGTCGTTGCATGTGAGGGAAGCACGTCCCTCAGGGGCCACCTCTAAAGTCCCAGCTTCCATTTGTTTTCTCAGTAGAACTTTCCAATTAGACTAAAGACCCTCCCTGCTCATTTCACCTGAGTTACAGAGCCTCAGTGCACCTTTTGACCAGGTTCCCTGATAGTTTTCTTGGCCTTAATAAAATTCTGCCACACCTTAACATTTCCTGCGGACACAGAGAACGCCCTAGAACAGCATACAGTTTGGAGAAAACAGGCCCTCAATAAATGCCTCCTGTCTATAAGGAAGTAGGGGTGGGTAAAGATGGAGCCACTGGCTAGGTAAACACGGAACACCGGGGACAGCCTGGTGGACAGGAAATGCTGGTTCAGCAACAGGGACCTAGCCAGCAAGGTAAATTAACACTTGTGAAGGCTCTTAAGAATGCATTTCTCTCTCATTCCCGTGCCCCCCGGTCAGTCAGGGAGCAAATGGCATTCCATGGACAAAGGAGCCTCAGAGCCCAATTAGGCTGAAGCAGAAAAACTCCTAAGGGTTCTGAGTGGGAGAAAGCTATCAGCAGGTGAGTGCCAACCAGCCTGTGCTTGCACCCTGCGGGCTTATCTCACTGGGTCCTCCCCGCAGCCCGGAGGGAAGGCCTCTTTATGATCCATTTTTATAGATGGGACCACTGTGGCTCCAAGAGGTTACCTGAAGAGCCCAACCCACACAGAAAAATGTCAGCGCCAGGATCTGAGTTCAGACACCAGAGAGGGCTTCCTGGGGAGTGGAGGGGAAAGAAACCAAAAAGGGGTACAGGCAGAGGAAGCCCCCACTACCAAACACCCAGATTCCTTTCTATCTCCCACCTGCTCCTGGTTCTCAACTGAAGCTATCTGGAAGGGAGGAACCTAAAGAAGTGACTTTCCT